TTGAAAGCCTTGATATTCAATAACAAAAACATTTCGTAAACTGTTTTGAGTCATGATGTAACGACGAATTTTGAGTGAAAAAGCTACTTTTTTGTTGGGTAAACAACCGCCCACTGGACGGAAACTTGAAACGCGAGGTGGAAATGGGTGGTGGGACTTAAGTGTTGGTCAAAGGCACATTGTGCCGTTGTAACTGACACTTCTTTCTTTGTTGCCGACCAACGCACTGCCACACAACCACACGCTTGAAGCATACGGAGAATGTTTTTGAGCAGTCAGAACTATTCATTATTGTTTTTTGACATCACACGACGATGGCGTCAGAGGCTAATTTACGTAGGATGCACGATCCTCGCAGTAGATAGCGCTATTTAAGCAATAGCGAAAATCAGACCTGAAAAAAATCAGGCCTGTACGGGATTCGAACCACTGACCTCTGCGATACTAGTGCAGCGCTCTACCAATTGAGCTAATGTATTTCATGTATTTCATGTATTTCATGTATTTCATGTATTTCATATATTTCATGTATTTCATTGTATCTCATTTATCACTTTCACGGGTTTATTACGAATCAACTTAACGGCCTGCTCCCAGTTGGCTTTTTAGCTCAATTGGTAGAGCGCTGCACTAGTATCGCAGAGGTCAGTGGTTCGAATCTCGTACAGGCCTGATTCCCGTAGCGAAGGCAGCCCTGGACACGTGATTGCTGCGATAAAACACGAACAACTGAATTTATTTTCAAAGTTTTTGGAAGTAAGAATTGTAAAATAATCTGAATTCACGTTCACCTTCACATGTCGGTAGAGAGTTGTCCCACATTCCCGGATATTTGTTACCAGGGGCAACACAAGTGAGTTCTGACGAGCCATTCAAACGGTAGCCAATGGGACAAGAAAAGTTACATTTCTCTTCATAATGATTACCACAGTTACCTATGCGCAGTGGACCTCCTGAGTCGATCGTCAGAGATGTGCAGTTGATGACTAAGAATACAAAATGATGTAATGATGATAAAAGCAGTGTGAATTCCCTATTCATCCTACTTCTCAACATAGTTGAAAAAAGGAAAAAAAGATTTCTCAGTTTGCTATATCTAGTCTTGAATAGTCTTCTCTCCCATAAAGTAGAAAAATAAAGTAATCTATTATATTTTTAAGCATAACGAAGAGATGGGACTCACTTCCACAAACAAACTCTCGTCCACTCCAAGTTCCATTCTGTTGACATCTTCTGCTTTGAGATCCAGATCCTATGTAGCCATTACTGCATCCGAAATGACAGACTGTATCATAAGACTCAGTTGCATTACCCGAACATCCAAATGTTATACCATTTGTTGGCGAATGCATCCCTGGACACGTGATTGCTGCAATAAAACACAAACAACTGAGTAATTGCCAAAGCTTCTGCACGTAAAAATTATCAAGTAATCTCAATTCACATTCACCTTCGCATGTATAAAACTCAGCTACTTAAACGACATATAACTGGAAAAAAAAGCACAGCAACCATTTCTGATACATCAGTTCAAGCTTAACGCAACAGACATGACAATTGCCGCAAGCATTCATCGCTGCGTTCAATGCCGTCCGTCCATGTTTTTTTTCAAATTACGATGGTGCTCCTTCCATTTCCCCCGAGTTTCCCTGTTTGTGTACACAGTAAAACAGCGATTCTTAAAAACAAACCTGGTGGGTGCAGGGTGCAGTCATACTCAGCAACTCCTTGAATTCCGTGGAAAGGGATCTGCACACTATTCACAACTGCTCCACTGGCCGTATTGACTTTGAAAATAGTACCACTGCGATAACCACCAACAAATAATGATGAGGCGGTGAAGACAACACCGTAGAAGTAGTCAGAGGCGTCTCCTATTTGAATCAGTAGCTTTCTGTTGTTGCCGTTATAGTCACTAGAGTCTATTCTGTTCCCACAATCTTCCACCCAGAAAACGAGCTTGCGTTGTCTGTCAAGAGTGATACCACGTGGACAGTTGGTCATTTTACGTACCATAACAACACGTTGTGTTCCGTTTAAAGCTGATTTCTCGATCTCGGTGTCAGTTTCCCAAAACATCATTCTGCAGAGTAAATTATCACAGTCATTATTGATTTAGGTCTTCTGACTCTTTTTTCCTCCCACCCCCATGAATTCCTTCAAAACCTAGAATTTCATATATTGCCCATTAAAGTTCCAGTGGGCAAAGACTAAGCTACATGCATTAGGATGGCGGGTGGTCATGATCCATGGTTTCCTCGTTCTGTCTGCATTGCATTTCATTGTTACCTCTGTTTTACTAACTACAGCTCTCAGTAATCTACACAACATCAAAGCCAAGCATACTTCACTTCAAGCATCTTCTCTAGACCTGGAATGGAGACTTATGGGTACGGTGGTCCAGAAGGGTCACGCATGCAAATTAAAAATGTTGCCGCAAACTAAAAATATTACCTGCAAATTAAAAATAATGCTGCAAATTAAAAATGGTACATGCAAATTAAAAATTTTACATGCAAGCTAAAAATATCACCTGCAAATTAAATATAGTACTTGCAAATCTAAAATGGCCCAGGAGGGTCACACATGCAAATAATTAAAAATGTTGCTGCAAACTAAAATTACAACCTGCAAATTAACAATGAAAAGTCGTGCGCGCGCATTGGCATCCATAAGAAACTGGGGAGAGCGCTGATAGGTGGCAATGGCAGACAACGAACGATCGCTTATCCAAAAGTACTTTCATCTTGGGTATGAAAATGAGGTTATTTTGCAATTCTTGGTCGACTACTACGGTATTAAAATAGGTTTAAGTAGTCTTAAACGCAGGCTGCGAGATTATTGGTTGAAAAGAAAAGGAAATGAGGTCGATGTTGACCAGTTGCGGGATATAATCAGGAATGAAATAAGTGGTTGTGGTGAATCACTAGGATACAGAGCAGTGTGGCATTCTTTGAGGCTAGTACATCAAATTCATGTCCCTCGCCACTTAGTAGCATTTATTTTATGGGAAGTCGACCCAGTGGGACTTCAGGAGAGAAGAAGGCGCAGACTTTCTCGGAGGAAATATCTCAGTTACAGTCCAAACTTCAGCTGGCACGTGGATGGTGATTTATCAAGCTTATGTTAGTTACGTTGGTAAAGTAATGGTGGTATGTGGGATGATTCGAACTTACATTCTTCGTAGACTCGAAGGGGCTTTCAGGGAGAGCTAAGGGAGCAGACACCTAACAGCTCTTGAAAGCCCTGTCTGACCTTGTTTTGGTGAGGTGACTCGGTGACATCACAGCCATGTTTACATACTTTCTTACTTACTCTCACACAAACAAGCCTCTCACCAATCCTTCTCACTTTATCTTGTATGTAAGCTACTTTAGGATAGCTATGGCAGGTTTCTGTGCTTAAAATGTAAGTGTATTTGTAACGGCAAAATGAAACGATAGTGGTGTTAGGAAATAAGAGAATTATTAATTTCAAAAGTCAGAATTTTTCAGGATTAGCTAGTTTGACTTTTATTGTTTTGTATAGAAGTGTTCAAGAATGAAAACTTTGGAGTGAAAAATACCATTCTATTGGTAAACTACTCGGCCATGATTTTGTAAACCCAGTGATGATGAAGGTGGCTTATACCAAGAGTATTTTGACTATGTCGTTGATCATGAAGCCCTGCAGATTCCCAGCTCGATGGAAGAGGCTTTCAATTTATTTCAACAATTGAAATCTTTATGTGTAATGTAAATAAATGGAAGGACTATTTTGTTAGAAATTGAAATTGGTGTAAGAACTTTAACAAGTGTTATAAACATGAAGTTGCACGTGCTATTCCTGTTAAGTATACTGCAAATGGTATTGCTCAGAGAGTGCTCCCAAACACACATTCTTAAAGATTAGTTGGTCGTTTGTCTAGGGGAGGAAAAAGCGTGGGAGGCTACAGCACTCTTAAGGTTCTGAAGATTACACTGTACATGTACATCAATATCATAAATTTTAACTTACAGTGATTGCAACTTGTCTTCAATGATTCACTGTGGATACCTTTTGATAACAGTTTAAACAGAAATACATATTTTATAACAACACTTCGAAGCACAAATATAAAACGTGTGTAAAATTTACTGGACGTATGGTTGTAATGTTCAACATTGTTAAATTGTGCTTATTAAACCATGTCCCATTTTTTGTCAACAGTTTTTTATTTAAGTAGAACCAAACATTGTTAAGGAAGTAACTGACAGAAGACCACTTCTGACATATATTAACATTCAACATGACAGAAACTCTTAAAGGGTGCAAAAAATAATTAAAACTCTCCATCATGCTGAATTTTACTTTATGGTAATTATTGAAGGCGGCCAATTTCTTTAAACATCTTCACACAAAGATTAAAACTTCCAGTGGCTCATTTAGATTAGGCCAAAATCAAACGAATCTTTAACTGCTGAGGTGATCATTTCCTTCATTGTCTGTTCATCACTGATGTGGACTGGTATTTTGATAGTGATGTCACATGTACATACTGTGGGCCTACAGCAATAGCCCTGCAGGCAGCCATGAACAAACTCAAGCGTAGACTTCTTAGGAAATCCCATGGTTGGAATTGGCGGAGACCCTGTCATCCACTTCACAGAGTTCTCTAGGTTATACCGTTAACACCTATAATGAAGAAGGAGGTTTTGATCTTAAAAAAAATAATAATAATGTGGTCATATACAAGTTAGTAAAACATGGTAATGGAGAGCTTCATTTGCCTCCTTACAATGCAAGTAAAATAAATTTCCATGTATCACCAATGCAGTAATTCTGTAGATGATGACATAACATCATTCTTTCTACTTGATACTTAAAAATTCACAGTGGTGCCATCATTAGTATTTTGAAATTTGTTGTAAAGGCTTCTTGGTTTAATTTCTTTTGTCTGTCTAATAAAAAAGAATTATACCTCCATTACCAATGAATTCAATTACATCACTGAAGAACTTGCACGTGTTGAACTCTACAAATGGAAATTGTTTTACTATTGCTGCAGATGAATTTCTGGATCAATTTATAGTAAACTTTAGCGAGTCACAGCTTTGTAGAGATTTAAAGACATGCTTCCAGAGTTCTTTCTCTCTCCTCATGTGCCCAAGAATACCACATTCACACAAGGCACTTTCAATTTGGACCAGCTGAGGAAGATATTGGTATAGTTGATCCTTGATGTAAATTGCCCAAGGAGAATTAAGATTAAAGAGTGTTAGTGTGTACTTTTAAGAGAACCTTTGTGTAAAATAGTGCTTTTATGCAATAGGCAGCTAAATAAAACACATGTCTATAATAATTAGTGAAGTATAACTATGATCATTACTGAATGACTGGTTGAATTCCAGTAACAGTCTCCTTTTGAGGAATGCCTGAATATCCTACTTTTTCTGGCACATCAAGCACCTCATCACATGTCAGCTCAGCTCTCAATTGTTTATCTGTCATGGCCTTTGATAACTTAAAACAAAGATTACAGAGTATTTTATTCTTTTTGTTCTCTTGGTGTCTGCAAAGAGTACCAAAATTTTGAAATGTAACTAAAGATCATGGGCTTTTGAACTACAATCAATTTTTATTGCGCATAGATCCTTGCATGGCTTTATTTTGGTGCGAATTGTTTTGAAAAATTTAGGCAAATAATGAATTTTGTCCTTTCTTAGAAGTACAAGGACAAAGCAGAACACATTTTTCTTTGAAATGTTCTGTCTAAAATTACGTGTTTGGTGTACTGTTCCTCAATTGATTACGATTACTTTATAAGCTGCATGCCTTGAAAAAGTTTATTTCCAACAGAAAAAGTATTGTTGAATTTTCTGGCTCTTACCTTACTAGAGCATTTTCATGAATTGAAAACAAAATAGTATTATCATTTAATAATTTTATTGTTAACATTGTACTAACTTTAACAATAATAACTACTCTCATTCAGATATACAGGAATGCTAATTAATTACCCTTTCAGAAGTTTTTCTTAACAGAGGGTCCTCGTTTTGTGATGGAGAAAAGGGCTCACCAACCACGTAGGATGCTACATCTGGTGACATGAAATTGGGTGCTGGACCACCTTGCAATATCGACATCCCTATTGCTTTTTCCACATGTTTTTAAGTCACCTGCATTCAGAGCCACTGCAGAGGTAACAGGTTTCCCACCTTAAAAAAATCTTTCCTTAACAATGATTAACAACTCTGCAAAATAAGACAAAAAAAATTAAAATGAATTAAGTAAAAGAAACCAATTTAGAAATGCTTGTGGAAAACTTTGGTGGTATAAGAAGATCATATTGCTTTGATTTTTAAAGGGGTAGTAACAGCATAGCTATCCACTTGGAAGATATGAACATACGAGGAACTGACTGAGCTATAACACTTTTTAGTATGTCAAAAAATAACAATCAAAATCTATTACTTTATCCATGATGCTGACTTGTGTATATCCTACCTGAAAATAGTTCTCTCTTCGGTCCACCGTCATCTACAGCAGGCTCCCCAGTGAAAACAACTAAGTGATGATTTGGGATCTATTTTAGTCTCCATGGCCGACTTGAAATCTAGCCAGATAAACTTTCGTCTGACGGTAAGACGTTTCGTATCCTGTGACAGCAACTGTCCTGATAATTCAGATATTTTATCCTTTAAGGTCGCCTTGTGTTGCTGACCAGTCAACTCCAGCACTGTGGTTGTTTTCTCAACACCATTGGAGGTACCACCATAACTTTGACTGTCACACGGCTGTTCCTCGTCGTCGAGTAACCACATGGAACATTGATCAGCATGCCCTTCAATAACTGAGAGGGGGAATAATGAGTGGTATATAGGGCAACCTATCGACCTTTCATTTCCACTTTCCACTTCTCGTGACTCTGATGATATCAGTTGGGCCTCGGTTACCAATGATGGGTTGCCTTCATTGTCACTGTTGTCGTTGTCGTGTGAAGGAATGTCCTGGATTTCGGTGACAAACACAGGCTCTTCTAAACTTTTGTCATCATCATCTTCGAACAGAAGGTTGTCCAGATAGTTATCCGAAGAACATAAATAAAACGTTAACCTCCCATAT